TTACTGCAACTATATGGGTCCTTAATTAATACTATACAAATACTTTGCTTAAAATGACATTCTTAACACTTAAATAGGATCTATTACTTCAATAGTTAATAATTAATAATCTGTACTTAAATAACAGTTAATTACAATTGCTATAAATTATTATATATATGAAATTTTACAGTTATAATTAATTCTTATAAATACTCTAAAAATTATTTATAGATTATTTATAAATTCAATATAAAATGTGTACTGTTTATATTTCTATTACGTTTCAATTAATTTACTACAAAGTCAATAAAAATAAATAAGGAAAAACAGATTATTACAATTGTGTGATTATATCCAAAGAAAGAGAGAAAGAAGGTGTAATACTGTATTTTCACAAGTTCTTTTTATCCATGTTATTGTTACTGTTAATATTTAAGGAAAGTCTCCAGGGTCTCTTCACTACAGCCTTTTCTTCGTTTTCTAATTTCTTTTACGGCTTAGAGTGATTCAATATGGTGATCTGCAATCTGCGCAGTCACACGTAAGCGTTTCTTCCTTTGCCAAACAACCTCTTTCTTTCTATAGGGGCAGCTAAACAATGGGTAGATGTAATATCCAATTCCTTTCTCAGTCCTGCTTTTTGAACAAGCCTCTCTCCACGTTCTATTTCACATATGTTAGAGTTCAGTTCTTTTAATTTTCGTGGCTGGTTAAAGTCCGCCCTCTTCCTTTTAACTCCCATCTCCATTTGCAGCCCGTTTAAAATTCTGAGTTTTCTCCTGTCTGCTGCCCCTCTGAAAATCCGCTTCTCCTCTTCGTTTTCCCGCAGAATAAAAGTATTTAAGTTTTTCTTAGTTCGCTCACACTGCCAGTCTTGCACCGTACTCACTATTTTGCTTCCCGTTGGTATTTCTCGGGCGTCGGGCCTCTGTGTCGGCCACGCCGGCCGGCTTCTTCTAAGTTCGGAATGAGGGTCCTTCCTGGTGTGGCAGGAGATGGTGTGGTGTGGCACCTCTCCTCGCCTCCTCCGAAGCTTCCCCTCCTTACTGTCGATCCCTTCAGGACCGATCTTCGCCCAGAAGGGCTCCAAAAACCTAGAAATTCGGCACCGGGAACAGAGTGCTTCTTTCCCCGTGCTGCCATGACCCTACGTCACCGCCGGAAATCCTGACTCCCTCTTTAGTTCGCAAAGCTCTCCGGGCTTTGCGCCCCTGAGAGTCCCCAAAACACGGTGAAAAACGGGGTTGGAGAGCAGAGATCACTCTCCTACCACCATGTCTCCACGAATCGCCAACCGGAAGTCCCTAACTTGGTAAAATTATATCTTGATTCTAGATGGTGGTAAGTGAACTTATTTTACCAATTAGTTATAAAATGGTGTAAAGGTCAAATATATTAATAAACTACTGGCTTTAGTAATAATTTTAAAAGTCTCTTTTAATATATAACTGAATTTAAAGGAATGATTTGACAAGAACATTATTATGTTCCTTTGCACAGCTGAATAATGTACTTGTCCTTAGTCATAATCAAAATCTTCTAGAACTGTGGTGAATTTTAATAGACATATGCATACAAATGAATGCTCCACCCACAGATTGTTACTAGTGTCTTTTCCCAATAGCTATCAAGATTCCTTGCAGAATCAAGGCCCAATTAGCAAGGAATTATTATTTTATTATATATAAAGTAAGTTTAACAATAACAGACAATTGATAGTCTCTGAACACGTGGGCGGATGGTACAGAATTTTATTGCCTTCCTTGCAATATGGACTAGAAGTAGTGATACTAACGAATAGAGACTACATCTCTATAGTCAGTATTTTTATAGGAGGAAACTAAAAATTACGAGAATTTCAGTAAGTATTTAGCTAGTAAATGTTCAACTTCATCCAGTTGCCCCAGTTCTACCCTAAACAAGGACTACAGGGTCATAAAAAGGGAGTTTTTATTCTACTCTATTTGAGGCAGAAAAACTCTTGTACATTTCCTCTTATTTTTTTTCCATGAACCTTATGTAAACAAGAAGCAGTTTGCATCTGTTTATTTCTTTGGCACCTCTTTTACTATAACTGGCATCTCTTTTACTAGTTAAAACCTGATAATTTTCAATTCTTTTACTCTTTTTTCATTGCACAGTACCCTATGAAGAAAAGATCTAGCTTATTTTTCTCAATTGATATCATCCTATCTGTTGTAGTTCTATGCATTCCTTGATCTCTTATTCACAAAATTCCTTCTGATTAGGCTGGGATTTTTCTGCCCTTCGTGGAGCATGAAATGTCCATTATTCTGTTCCAGAACAAGAAAGAATATAAAACCATTTTCTGGAGTATGCATTCACTCCTTTTTAAAGCTTTTTCTCCTTTTTTTAATCATAAACTACTCCAACCTTTGTAACAAGTTCCATATCTATCACTTGAGATTTTAAAAAAGAGATTGGATGTCCATTTGTCTGAAATAATATAGGGCCATGATGGCGAACCTATGGCACGCGTGCCAGAGGTAGCTCGTCCTCTCTGTGGGCACGCGTACCATCGCCAGCTGCTCTTCTGGTTTTTGAAAAATGGCCGGAAAATAGCTCCCCAAACATCCTGAAAAAGGCCCCAAAATGGCCTGAAAACACCTTGAAAAATGGCAAAAAACAGCCTCAAAACTGCTCAAAAACAGCCTCAAAACAGCCAGAGAAATGGCCTGAAAATGGCCCAGAAAACAGCCTGAAAATGGCCTGAAAAACGGCCAAAAAAACCCCAGTGTGTGTGTGCCGGCCAGCTAGTCTTTGGGTTTCTGGCGTTCTGGCACGCGCACATGCACATGCACATGCATTCCCGTTTGGGCACTTGGTGCCGAAAAGGTTCGCCACCACTGATATAGGGTGTCTTGCTTGAGCAGTGCCGAGAAGACCTCCAAAGTCCCTTCCAATGTTCCAATAACATTCTTTAGTCAGTCTTAATGACCCTGTGATGCAGAGGCTAATGTTAACTTTCATATTTCTACAGTTTTCCTACTTGCTGGGCAAACACTTTATGATGAGGGCAAGTTGCACCTGACCTCATAGTTTCTCTTTCACAGTATGTACTTGGGATGCAGTTTACCTTTTAGAATTGCAAAATTTAGAAATGGATCTTTTTATCAGTTTCTTCTTGATTCAGCTTGCAATCTAATTCATTAACTTGTTTCACTAGTTAACTAGTGAATTAACTAGTTGACATTAACTAGTCATCCCTTTGGGGCATCTTGCGGTTTCAACTAACTGTGAAATTATTCATTAAATAGCTAATGAATCTTCCTTGTTACTTTATTGTTTTGTCACGGAAGCAGACTGTGGTATTCAAGATATTAACAGCAAGCAACACAGATATATTTTATCAATAAATTTATTTTTTAGAGATCCCTAATGTATAAGATGCTTAGTTCTCTGCTCTCTGTGTGTTTCAGCAAATTCTGTCAGGCAGCAATATGGTCCCAATGTTTCACATTCAGTGTCACCCATGTTTAAGCCAGAGATTAAATTATTTTAAAAGATGGTTAAAAGATCCAGGGATCTTTTAGGGATTAAACTATCCAGAGATAATTTGGGTATCATCTGTTCATCTTCCTGAAATAAGCTTGTTATTCATCCATATGTGTGATATACAGACACTTTTTTGAAGATACACAGGCTGCTATGCCCTCTGTCTTCCTCTCCTTCTCCAAATCTCTACTATGATAGGTATTTCTAATCTCCTATTCTATCAACTTGGTTTTCACGGAAGCTGAAGGGAAAGTTACAGGAAGTGCATCCAGGAGCTTGTCCTTCTGGAGGTATGTTTTCTGTCTACCTCGGCTGTAGAAAATTTCAATCATGACTACTGTATCAAGAGCTACTTGTAGAATCAACTACAGGTGAGCTACCCAATGTTTCTTTTTAAAATGGTTTTATATTCTGAATGCTGTAGGCATTATATAATTTATTCAAAACATCAAAAACATGTTTTAGAGTCAATGTTTCAAGAAAACAAGATCACAAGAGGACCCGGATTGTGGGGGCAATAAGATGACTTTGTATAAAAAAGAACACCGCTTGGGGGGGTGGCGAAAGCCCTACTAAGCAGGTATATACAAAAAGTATGAAGGCTATTGCTTAACGCATTGTAAGCCACCCTGAGTCTCCGGAGAAGGGCGGCATATAAATCGAACCAATAAATAAATACAATAAATAAATAAATAAGACAAAATGTTATGGGTGAAACTAATGTTTAAGAAATATGTGTAAATTTTGAGGAACCGTATTAATGTTAGATTAACAGTAATAGCTCAAACTCCATTTCTGATACAAATTGGAGAAGAATTTAAATTTATGACATCTCTAAGTGATCTGTACTTAGGGTGTTTTTTAATGTCAGGAAGCTGTTAAGATGTCATCTTTACATTTCTTTGGAAACAAAAATATTCAATAGCCATTAATATCTTAAAGCAGATTTAGTAACACTCTTTTTTAAAAAAATATCAGCACCTGTGAATTTGTTAATAAAGGAGACTATTTGTAGCTCAGGGTTGATATGAGGGAACCCAGAGATATCAGGGTTGGTGCTCTCTGGGCTTGCTTGTTATCACTGCTAGTTTGGGTAATGAAACATCTACAAGAAAACAAGCAAGCTCAGAGAGCACCAAGGTTCCCTCACGTATGAATTTCCCTCTTATTCCTGAAACATTGTGCCTGAACATTAGACTATGCTGTATTGTTAGGAATTCTTGCTTAACTATAATAAAGTTAGCAATATACCAGTATACATTTCCAATAACTTCCATTTGCCTCCTCCTTCAAGTGGTAGCGGCTTAATCAATTGAATCAATTCCATCCATGGCTTGTTTAGCATTATGTGTGAACTAAAAAATCTCTCTTGTTTCTCTTTTAACAAGCAAAGATAAGAATCTGTCACAAGAAATGTTTTTTGACTTATGGCCTTTGACCACTGAAAAAATAGTTGACCGAGTATTAATTTATTTATCTTGCATCTGTTTTACTTTGGAAAGCTTTTTTCTTATACCCTCCTGCTGGCGTAAATGGAATGAAGACAAAGTACATCATCAAATATATTAGCAGTAGCATTAAAGCTGCTGAGAAAAATGGTAAGTTTAGGCATTTAAATGGGAGTTTTCTACTTTCTGCAATATTTGTGCGACAAATCACTTCTGATGTGTTTTACTGACAATGTGTGCAGATAAGCAACAAATATATAAACATCTAATCTTCTAAATGTTGTTTTCCTCATTCTAATTTTTTTGTTTGCTACTAAATTTTTCAGTTAAATTTTTTGTGGCTTTCCTCATTCAAATAATGGCTCCGTTTAAAGATATTGTGCATTCCTCCATACTGGCATTTCCTTAACCACATTAGTAAACTGGTGAGTGAGATAATTTGTTTATAATGCTGCTTATTTGTGTTATTCCCATTTATAGTTCTTGACTCAATTTTTTTTTTTTTATTTGATTTATATGCCGCCCTCCTCCGGAGACTCAGGGCGGCTTACAATGTGCTCAGTAATAGTCTTCATCCTTTTGTATATTTATACAAAGTCAGCTTATTGCCCCCACAACTAGGTCCTCAATTTACCTACCTTAGAAAGGATGGAAGGCTGAGTCAACCTTGAACCTTGGCGAGATTCGAACCTGCAGTAATTGCAGGCAGCTGGTCTTAATAACCAGCTTAATAACAGGGTGCCTTAGACCACTGTACTACCAAGGCTCTTCATTTTAGGGGATATTTTAAACGTCAGGATCAGTTAGAGAAAAATTGTTCCTACCATTTTAGGCTTTGATTTTAATTTTTTTTTGAATAGTTAGCTATCTTACATAAAATAAAAAAAAATAGAAGAATAAGACTGAAAGGGAACTAAACAATTAGTGCACCACTTCTGAGAATCGCTAGATTAAATTCTAGAATCTTAAAGTATGGTTTGGGAAAGAAATGTTTCTGTAGAATAATTACATACTGGTTCAATTAATGAATTAAATACAATACTAGTGTGATTTATAAAATAAAATAAGTCAACTTCCTATGGCAAGGCAACATTTCCTATACTGCAGTGGGAAAACAGACCATCTGAAAACTGGAATGCAGCAAGAGCTTCATGACAAAGCTGAAAATTGGGAAAACATATATTTGCAGCCATAACTAGAAATGAAAGAACATTTATAACACTTGCAATAGGACTCCTTTGATTAAATAAGAACTGCCAATAGCTAGTTTGTGATTAATTTGGCAGATTAATTTGGGGGTGTGGAAACCCCTAATTGTTCTATTGCACTTTTTAAGAATAATATCTGAAGCATTGTGTAGTCATTCTACGCTGACAAAGATTAATGAACAGCAGATATAGTTGGACTACTCTTAATTTCTTCCTAATATGCTCAGATTACCACACAATATGGTCACCACATTATTTTAATAGTGATACTGTTTGAACTAGTGGACTAAATATGCTAATGAAATATCTGCTTTAATTAGAAAGCAGGCTAATAACTGGCTAATGTGAAAATACTGTAGAGGAACATCTGGATTAGAAAGTGACAAAAATATGATAATGCAGTATATTTAATTAAATACCTCAAAAACTGGGAGATTTTGCATTTATATCACATGTGGAGAACAATTTCTCTGTCTGTTTTTCAGATGAATAGAAAAATGCCTAATGGTTAGTTATATTGGCATGTGTGGACTGACCCAACTGAAGCAAGAGTTAAAATCTCTCTTGAATTAGTTTATTTCACACTCTGTGGAATAAGAGTGGCGCGGTAGCCTAGAAGTGAAGATGCTTGCCTCCCACTCAGACGGTTGAGAGTTCAGTTCTAGGCAGGAAGAGATATTTCTCTATCAGGATGCAAAGAGAAAATATTTGCTGTGAACTCCATGTAGGTGTCAGGGAGCGCATCTGGCCAGTAAATGCTCAGCTCTATTCAGTCACCCTGACCCCACCTTGAAGTCAGGGATTACAGGGTTGTAAAGAGAACTCTGTGGAATAAAGCAAGAATTTATGTTGTAGGGTACATTGCACAGTGGGATGCAATGAGTTGATCCTGAAGCATGATCTTATGTGCTTGCAGAATTACACAGAACCCTCGTATGTTTCAGCTTCTTTAGATCTCACCTTGCACAGGAGACTATTGTTCCTATCAGCCAACTGATGATATTCCAGAGCAGTGGTCCCCAACCCCCGGTCCGCGGACCGGTGCCGGGCCGTGGAGTACCTGGCACTGGGCCGCGCAGCGGCCGGGGGACATGAACGCTGCAGCGCAAAGGCTCCTGGGCCGTGCGCAATGGGCCGTGCGCAAAAGCTCCTGGGCCGTGCCCCCACCCCTGCGCGCGCTCAGCGGGCCGCGGCGATAAAAAGGTTGGGGACCACTGTTCCAGAGCATATACTTGGGATAGAAGAAATCACTAATTAAAGTATTTTTTGCATACCTCACATGAAGATGTGGATTTTGTCTAGCATGGGATGGCCAACCTGCAGTGTTCACTCCTTAGGCTTACTGTTAGGTAATTTCATTCTGTACATCTAATGGCCTATTTGTAAAAGCTTCTACAAGTTATCAATTCAGATTTCTGTTATGACTTGTACGTTTTTTACCTGTAGTCTTTGGCTTGGGACAGACTGAACAAACTATCAAATTTGCTCCTATTCCAAGCAACATATCAAAACATCAAGGTTGTTTCCAATAGATATGGATTACATACCTAAATATTCATATGGTTGACAGCTCACAAAGGGATTACAAGTCTCCTTGACTTATAATCATTTAAATTTGAGATAGCCTAAAAATTGTGATCCCACCCCTTCCACGGTCACATGATTGCAGTTTGGGTGGATAGGAACTGGCCTACTTTTATGGCCATTTGCAACATCCTGCATTGTGGCTACCATTTATGGGTTTTTTTTAAATACAAATCAGAATTTACTTTTGGTAAATTGGCAAAAAAAAGCCTGTTGCAGAGAGTGGGTTTGCTTAATGACCACAGTTTTCCTTAATGACCATAACATTCACTTAATGACCACAGCATTTACTTTAAGATCAATGTAAAATCGGGCATAGTCCTAGGATAACTTGTTTAATAAGTGGCATAATTTATGACTAAAATTCTGGGCTCAATTATGGTTGTAAATTGAGGAATGCTTGTATTGGCTGGTTAATTGAAAAGTTTTGCATTTAAAATAGGTTTAGCTTTACCAAAGATGGCTGGGTATCCTATGATAAGTTGTCAGGATGACCTAGGTAATTAGAATTATTATTCATTCTCAGTGGAGTTAAAATTGAAAATAGTTTTGTTATGTGTATGAAAGATTAAATAACAACTTATTGCACACCTCAGGAAAATCATAAATATTGCATCTAATTATGTATTTCAGTTATTTTAGACATTATATTCTCCATTGTGGGTGGAGACAGCAGCCAGTGTGGGTGGTACTCATCCAATCAGCTTCAAGGACTGTCAATAAGCCTAAATCCCGCCCTTGTTACCGGGCAGACCAGCTTTTGACTCAGTCCTTCAGTTTGGACGGGCGTATGGGTCTCTAGCTCTTTCTCTCTAAAAATTGCATCTCTCTTGGATTTTCTGGTGTTTTTCGATCTGGCTTGTTTGATTACGGATTCTGCTTCATCCCTTTGGATTCTGGTTGCCTTTGGACTCCTTTTGAATTTCTTGTGAGTTATATTTGGCCTGTTTGCCGGGACTGCATTGACTGGTGGCTGAATATTTCTGTTTCTCCCTTTGGGGAGAAGCCCCTTTGGGGGTGTAGAGACTTACGAGGGATCGCTGCTGAATGTTGCCGGAAATCTTGATATTTTGGCCCCCCTTATCAGTTGATCATGCCATTGGGTCAGTTCAGTGCTCCTGGTTGGTTTCGGCCGTTTGTCTTGGGGAGCGGCGACGGCCATTTTGTTGTCTTTCGCACTGTTCAGAGAGGCGCTTGACGCAGCGAGCATTCTGGTTCCTTGCTGTATTACCTTGTGGCCCCTGTTTGATTTGAAGGCTTCAGCCGTTTGGGACAGTGATTTGTGGCTTGGCTTCCCGCTTTTGAGCTGTCACTCTGACCATCTAGCCCGAGCATGGAGAGCGGCGCTTTGACAGCTTGCGCGCCCGATGACCAGCTGGGCTTCGCTTCAGTGGAATTTCGCGCTCCCTGTGTTCCCCTTCCTGGCGGCTCTCTACGTCGACCCTGCATCGGCTCCTACACCATCAAGGCTGCGGCATATTGTTTTGTGGAGCTGCGCGCTCCCTGTTATTTTTTTTTTTTAATTTGATTTATATGCCGCCCTTCTCCGGAGACTCAGGGCGGCTTACAATGCGTTAAGCAATAGCCTTCATTCTTTTGTATGTTTTATACAAAGTCAGCTTATTGCCCCCACAAACTGGGTCCTCATTTCACCTACCTTAGAAAGGATGGAAGGCTGAGTCAACCTTGAGCCTTGGAGAGATTCGAACCAGCAGAAATTGCAGGCAGCTGTGTTAATTACAGGGTGCACTAAACCCCTGTACTATCAAGGCTCTTTATTGGCAGATTGGCAGCTCTCCTTCCCTAAGGGTGATTCTGATCGTGGCTGCCATTTTGGCTTCCCTGGCCTGAGGCGCGGCAGCCATTTTGTGGAGGTTTTGCGCTCCCTCCTTGCCTCCAACTACTGATCACGAAGATTTATTTGTGGAGTTTCCGTGCTCCCCCTTTATCTATTACTTGCTGCCTTCTCTTTCTTTGGTCTGTGACTTTATTACCTGGCTGCAAATTCTGCCATTATGCCGAAGGCTCTGTCTAAATCGAAGCACGGGCGGAAGCCCGGCTCTGCTGACCATGGCCAATTAGACAACTTGTCTGTTACCCATCGACCTTCCATCCAGGCCCCTGTTGGATCGCCTCCAGCTGTCCAGGACTCTCGCTCCCAATCCAAGTGTCACAAGCATGGCGGTACTTCCTCCAAGGTGGAAAAGCGCAGAAACAAAGTTCTCACTAAACTTTGCAACAAGGCGAGCGCTCATCTCCTATCAGCGGCTGCACCTGCAACTGTGGATACTGGGGTCTTGGACTCGGTGAAAGAGCCCCGTCCTACCACTCCTGACCAGTTATCCCTTTGGGATTGCCCTGTTACTATATCCACTTCAGACCTGTGGGGCGACAATTCCTCTGCCCCTTCTGCCCCACCTCACTCTGATGTGACACATCCTCGTGAACGCCGTTGGCACACCTTGGATGTCAGGTGGGCACTATGAATCTACTTTAAGCGGACTGCCACCATTCGGCGATCGGAGGCTCTGTTTGTATCCTTCCTTCCCGTCTCCTTGGGACACAAGGAGGCCACTGGATCCGGCAGACCATCGCTTCAGCCTATGATTTCCGCTCCCTTCCATGCCCTACCTGTGTGATCGCCCACTCCACACGCAGCGTGGCTACATCGGTGGCCTGAGCTACCCAGGCCACATTGCTGGAGATCTGTTGGGCAGCTACATGGACTTCACCAGACCATTCATACGACACTATAACTGTGCAAATTTGCTTTGGTGGAGGCTGCGTTTGGGCGGCAAGTGTTGCAGCGGGTTGTTTCTAGGAAGGATGTTTCGGACCAGCCTGGTCCCCCCCAGGTTTCAGGACAGTGAACTTGGGTATGTCCCACACTGGCTGCTGTCTCCACCCACAATGGAGAAGGGGCGTTGGTCCTACCTGAGACGCTCCTTCTCGTTGGGTGGAGACAGCAGCCAGACTCTCCCTATGCCAGTCTGGTCCCTTTCTTTCTTGACTTTCTGACTCTTCTCCTGCATGCCAAGTCTGTCTCCTTCAGTGCTTCGTCAAAAGCTGGTCTGCCCGGTAACAAGGGTGGGATTTAGGTTTTTTTGACAGACTCAGTCCTTGAAGCTGATTGGATGAGTACCACCCACACTGGCTGCTGTCTCCACCCAACGAGAAGGAGCATCTCAGGTAGGACCAACGCCCCTTTTCTGTGTATCCTTGATTTACAGAAAGGGTAACAGGAAAAGTTCATCTACATATATCTTAAGACACAGTGAATAGAAAGTATATATTATCTTCCAGGTTTGTTGAATGTAATAACCTAATTGTACTTGCTTTTTACTACCACTTGTCAGTAGCTTTCATTGTTGAACTTTTAGAAGCCAACTAAAATTTTATCCTCTTTTATGAAGTAGCAGTTCTAAAATATAAACTCAGTCTTAATATAATAGAAGTGAACAAATGATAAAAGAAGTTTCTGAAATGCTGATGCAGTTGATACTATAGTCATGATGTGGGTAAAAAATCAGAATTTAATTTAATATTTCCACATTATTTATGTTGAATTACTGAGAAATACTTCACTGGAATTTTTACTACCTCATACATGATTGGTTTTAGATTGATTCTACTTTGTTTTCCTATGAATACGAAGTTTTAGATTAATCACATATTTATAAGTAAATAGTAAGACAGTTCAACGAGAGAGTTAAAGAATGTGTTTCCATTAGACTTCTATTGCCAAGGATTTTTTATAAAACTGCATTTATTTCTTATTTTATATAGATTGTGTTCTTAACAAAGTCAGCCATATATTCAGACTGGCTTTGGCATTTTTCTCTACCTACCGAGTGTTTCCCAAGAATCTGAGATAGGCAGATATTGATTATTTATTTATTTATTTATTTAGATTATTATTTAGACTATTTAGATTATTAAAAAAACCAAGAAAAATAAAACTGAAAAGAGAAGAAATAAAAGCAATATAAAAGCTGCATCTAAAGTTCTCATACATGTATATTCATATATGTAATTTTACATAGCTTTAATAAAGTATAATCATAGATTTGGTGCGCTTAACACTTATTATTCATACTGATTATAATGCAGGCTTAAAAACAGTGGAATTTATGCCCCAGCCTTTACCTGATAGCGATCAGAATGTGCCCCACCCATTTCCTCTCAAGTTGAGAGATGCTCTTGATGAGCTGGAACTCATCAAGGAATGCAAGTTGCATTTGTTATCAGTTATATATACTTCCTGAAAGATTGATAATAAAATATTTTTAACAAGAGGGTTGTCAGGAGTAAGGAAACAATGCATTTAGCCATAAATTACAGGCTTTCTGAAAGTTCTTTCAAACAGAGCCCTCCTTTTGTTCTGCTTCTCTGTGTTATTTATTTTTAACATACTAAGATTGTTGTAACAAACATATTTGGAAATAAAATTGATTGCAATATGAGTCGTTTCATAATAACTACATGTATTGAGAAATACAGTACCGTGAAAATGCTTTTCTTCTTTTTCATCAAACTAGTCAAAAAATGTAGCTGTTTTGAATGACATGTTTTGCTACATACAAAGTGACTTGTAAATTGCTTCTTGGGTTTTATATAATTAAGATTGAAATGCTAAATTGTTCAGTATCAGGGGCCACATATCTGAAGAAGATCTGTGAAGATATATAAAAAAGGCAATAAATATTTTGCGATTTGTATTCCATGTCATATTTTTCAGTTTGTTTTAATAAGCATATGTAATCACTATTTTCCATGGATCTATTTTTCTCATGTTGTGTCCTCTTCTATTCTCCTGCTTTCCAGTGTACACAATTCTCTCTAAGGTGCATTCTGATCGAAATGTTTATCCTTCTGCTGGAGTTCTCTTTGTTCATGTTTTGGAGAGAGAATATTTTAAGGGAGAGTTTCCTCCTTATGCAAAGCTTGGTAAGAAATATTTACAATTGTAAAGGCATATAAAACTGTTACCTAGCTTCCACTTTAACTTTATGAAGATCACATAATCATTACTTTCTCTTCAAAAGTGCTAGCTCAAAAGCTATTGGCAATGTGTGCATAAGAGAGAGAGAGAAAGGGAAGTGTGAAAATACTGAATGTGCTAGAGTCCCAGTAAAAATGGCATTGTTAATTTGATGTGAAAATAACATCTCTCTTGCTCTCTCTTTCTGATTAGATTTACAACCAACACAGTTAGTATCACAAATCTTTTGGCCTTTAGACTAACTTGCAAGGATCATGAATGTACGTAGCATTAAAAAGGCTGCAATTTTTCTTGACTATCACCTCTTCTCCAATTTACATTTTATAAAAAATATCTATTGTGATACATGTTATTATTCTTATTTCCATGACATCAAATTAGACTATTATAGTAAAATTAACAAACATTCTTAACATATTTAATACTTGTTCCTATAGACGGATACAGCCTTCACAGTTAATGAAACAACGTTGTTTGAGCTGTAATGCCCACTTAATTAGGGTTAAGTCTAATTTAGTACTGATACTGGCATTTATTTAGTATTAGAAGTCAGTGGCAGTTGCTGAATATTACATTTTTCATTTCGTTTTCAAATAATTCATTACTGTTGGCCAAAACCGTAAAGAACTATAGCTATACTTTTTGGGGTTTACTACCATAATGAAAATAGAACCTAAATTATTAATGATCTAAATAGTAGGAATTTACCATTGGAATGAGCATAAAAATATGGTGTATAGATGATTAAACCGTATCTTAACATGACTGTCTCTGTTTATCCAGGTGAGATAAACAATGATCCCATAACATTTAATACGAATCTAATGGGTTACCCTGATAGGCCTGGCTGGTTGCGTTACATCCAAAGAACACCATATAGTGATGGTGTACTCTACGGGTCACCAACTGTAGAAAACATGGGCAAGCCAACTATCATTGAGGTACTTAGTTTGCAGAATGTTTATTTTTAAAAAATGCATGTTGACAGAAATATCCATCAGTACTGGAATGCCCCGTAGTTCTCAAATTTCTTTAATCACATTATAACTGAAAAGAGAGTAGATTACCCCTGACATAGCTTCTTCTGTGATTTTCTGTTTTTCAGTAAAAGAAGATTAAACGAAAACCTTATTTGCGACAAATTTAAGATAACCATTATTATTGTTTACCATATTATCTTTTAAAAAATGTAATAATTAGTTACCATTTTACTTTTTCCCCCATTATTAGATCACTGCTTATAACAGACGTACCTTTGAGACAGCAAGACATAATTTAATTATTAATATAATGTCAGCAGAAGGTATGTCCTCAAGAATTATCTCAGTATTTTGGATGATTCAGTTGATAAATAATATAAATTGGTTACGTTTTACTAAATAGTTAAAGGCAAAGGTAATGGGAAAAGGGTATTTGATACTGTGTCTTGTCAAATCATATAATCTCTGAAATATTAACACTGATAGTATCAGTTTGTATTTGCACAGTATTTTTATGCATTTATATCCCTCCTCCATTATTTTTATGGATAACTCAAGGTGGTGAACATGCCTAATACTCTTTTCTCCTCTTACTTTCCCCACAACCCCATGTGGTGGGTTGGGTTAAGAAAGAATGACTGACCTCTTCCAAAGTTGAACATGCTCTGGTTGGTTACATCCAAATTATACAAGTCATGGCCTGTTATTAAATGAGAATGATGTAGTGACCTTTTATATTGGTTCAAAAGCAGTGCAAGAGAGGTGCCAGCACAAATAATCAATCCATGGAATGTAGCATTCCGGGTCCTATAATCACTTAAAAGACTGGCCCTTTTTTAGGCATGTTTACATTTATTCATGCAGATAAAAAGATATAGTACTACTATACATGTATCCTTAAATTACAACAGTTTGGTTAGTGATCATTTGAAGTTACAATGGCATCGAAAAAAGTGACTTAGTGACCAGTGGTGAAATCCATTTTTTTTACTATCAGTTCTGTAGGCGTGGCTTGGTGGGCATGGTGTGGCTTGGTGGGCGTGGCAGGGGAAGGATACTGCAAAATCTCCATTTCCAACCCACTCCAGGGGAGAGATACTGCAAAATCCCCATTCCCTGCTCACTCCTGGAGGATGGATATTGCAAAATCTCCATTCCCACCCCACTCTGGGGCCAGGCAGAGGTGGCATTTGTTGGTTCTTCGAACTACTCAAAATTTCTGCTACCAGTTCTCCAGAACCTGTCAGAACCTGCTGGATTTCATCCCTGCTTATGACCATTTTTCACATTTAAAACCATTGCAGCATCTCCAAGGTCATGATCAAAATTTGGACGCTTGGCAACTGATTCATATTTATGATGATTGCAGTGTCCCAGGGTCATATTTTGCAATGTTCTGACAGGCAAAGACAGTGGGTTATCTTTGCCTGCAGTGATTCACTTAGCAACTGTGACAGGAAAGATCTTAAAATGGGGCAAAACTCACTTAACTGTGTTGCTTAACAACACAAATTTTGGGCTGTATTTATGATTTACTAGTCCGTCTCTTTTAGTAAATTTGAAAAGGTCTAAGAAATAATTACTTTTTTTTTTTGCAATTAGATCTTCTTTTGCCATATCAAGCAGAATTCTTCATTAAAAACATGAATGTAGAGGAAATGTTGGCCAGTGAGGTTCTTGGAGACTTTCTTGGAGCCGTAAAAAACGTATGGCAGCCTGAGCGCCTGAATGCCATAAACATCACATCAGCTCTTGATAGGGGAGGCAGAGTGCCCCTTCCTATTAATGACATGAAAGAAGGGTAAGAAGTTATATTTCTGCTATAGCAATTATTTATTAAGTAGTTTAGTATCTATTTTTTTAAAAACAATTCAGTAAAAAGCAGTGGGTGGCAACTGGACTAATGAATAATTAATTCTTGTTTTGTGAGTCTAATCCATCTCTCTCTGCTAGAAGGAATTATTCTTTCAAATTTAAGGATGCAGGAAGGAAAGACCTGATGATTTTAGCTTTGATTGGATGATGTTTTGCCTTGACATGATGCCTTACTTCAAAGTAGAATAAGCACTTCAAGTGGTTTTTAACCCTCTATGTCAAGACAAATATTACTAATTCTCCCCAGTTTGAATTCCTATGCAGAGTTCTGCCTCCAATCTATAGTATGGGAGCTCGTTGGGTTCAAAAAGACTTATCTGCTTGCCAAGAGTGAAAAAAGTAAAGCAATACCTAATATAATTTATTTTTGCAACTTCTTGATGGGGAAGCGTGGGAAGAGGAATAACTTCAGAGATCAGTAATCCTGCCTTGCTCTTAAACTGTCCATTATTTGATTTATTATTCATTGTGTAAATCAGTGTTTCTCAACCTTAGCCACTGTAAGATCTGTGGACTTGAAACGTGGCTGGTAGAATTCTGGAAGGTGAAGTCTACTAGTGGCTGACATTGAGAAACACTGTTATAGATTATGAGAATCTCCCATTTATAATGAATGTTAATCTCTATTCTTAAGTCATAATCACCCTTCCAGTCAGTTTACCAGTTGCAGCCCTGTGGATAGACAGCAGGGACATGAAGTGTGAAGAGAAAAACAGATAAATGTCCCTACATTTACATTTTGTTGCTTAAATTCTTTTTGGAGAATTTCCTTCCCTAATTGTGTTCTCTTATGAAAAGAGCTGAATACCTTTAGCAGCAGGGTGGGTTCTATTTACCTTTACTACCGGTTCAGGTTCGCAATGGGATCTCTTCTTAAAATCTTCCGCTGTTGAAGCATCCACAATGTCTGCAAGTTGTTCCAATGATTAATTGTTCTAAATGTCAAGAAATTTTTCCTTAGTTCTAGGTTGGTTTCTCCTTGATTAGTTTCCATCCATTGCTTCTTGTCCTGCTTTCAGGTGTTTTGGAGAATAGGTTGACTCTCTGTTCTTTGTGACAATCCCTTAGATATTGGGATACTGTTGTCACATCGCCCCAGTCTTTTTTTTCATTAAGATAGATATATCCAATTCTAGCAACTGTTCCATACATGTTTTAACCTCCTTTTACCTAATCATTTATGTTGCTCTTCTTTGTACTATTTCGAGAGTCTCAACATCTTTTTTACATGGTGGCATCCAAAACTGGATGCAATATTCCAAGAGTGGTCTTACCAAGACATTATAGAGTGGCATAAACACTTCACATGAACTTGATTGTATCCCTCTGTTGATGCAGCCTAGGACTGCATTGGCTTTTTTGGCTTATATTAAGTGATTGTCCACTAGGACTCCAAGATTTCTTTTGTTGTTGTTGTTAAACCCCAACTCTTGGTATCGCTCACCATGAGCCATGCTGGCTGAAATAGATAGGACAGATTCTTGACAGCCAAAAATTCCTACCACTCATTGAGAAGGGAGAGATGGTCATTCAGTAGTACAAACTATATTGTGATTATGATGCTAGACTACGAAAAAGAAAGATTCAGACAATTTGCCACCTTGGAAGTATGTTGGTTAGCTTTGAACTATTCTCTTGAAGCCCAATCTGTCTCACAGAGATGTAAGGAAATCCCTATGAAATCTATCTTGAGCTTCATATATGAAATTACAGTAGGATAAAAACAACAACAACATGTTTCTGTTATCTACCTAGGCAGATTCTAAAGCCTGTTTTTTTCTCCATGTTAAAAATTATATCAGGAAGGTGGGAGATGACAGAGTATGAGGCTAGAATAGGTCTATAGATGTTTGAGAAAGAGCAGATGTAGAAGAAAATTAGCATTCCACTAGCCCCAAGAATAGAGTAATATTAGCTCTATCTTTTATCTAAATAAAATTGTACCCATATTTTAAGTAGGAAGGAACTAATAAAAGAGAACAAAATATACCACAAAGATTATAGAAAAATCCAAGTATTTTTCCAGCTTCTCCCTGACCCTGCTTATTTGCAGGAGCACTTTTGAACACTTCAGCTAGAACTGATCTCCTAAGGCAGTGGGTCTCAACCTTCCTAATTCCACGACCCTTTAATACAGTTCCTCATGTTCTGGTGACCTCCAATCATAAAATTATTCCTAAGACCATTGAAAATATGTGTTTTCCGATGGTCTTAGGCGACCCCTGTTAAAGAGTTGTTTGACCCCCAAAGGGGTCCCGACCCACAGGTTGAGAACCACTGTCCTAAGGGCTTTTATTTAATAGGTGAAATGCAGCATATGCAATATAATTCCCTTGTTTCCTTAATATCTGCTCATCTTTAAGATCGTGTCTGCAAAGAAAAGGGCAAATTATCCGCTTTCAGACCTAATTTCCAAACAAATCAATAATAAACAGGCAAATGCAGTTGAATTTCACTCACAGTGTTTTTATGTATTCCTGGCATTTCTATCCTACCTTGATAGTTTCTAGTGTATGTACTTGAAAGCTACTCTATAATTTGAAGCTGTTGAAAACAGGCTGAGAAATAGAAACTTAACATGGTACAGTAATAACAAACCTCAAACTTAAATGACCTAATGTTTTTATTTTTGCAAGCATAGCTTACATTCGATTTCTAAAATACTAATTCTTTAGCAGAATATTAACAAAATGACAAAATAACAGAATTGGAAGGGACATAGGAGGGGGTTTTCTAGTCCAACCCTCTTCTCAAACAGGAAACCCTATACCCGGGATGGCGAACCTATGGCATGTGTGCCAGAGGTGGCACGCAAAGTCCTCTCTGTGGGCACGTGCACAATCTCCAGCTGCTCTTCTGGTTTCCAGTGCACACATGTGCACCGGCCAGTTGGTCTTCGCGAGTGCTGGAGAGCCTCAAAACGGCCCGAAAATGGCCCGAAAAAACAGCCTGAAAACAGCCTGAAAAACGGTCTGAAAATGGCCAAAAAAATGGCCAAAAAAAGGCATGCGCATTAGCCAACTGGTCTTTGGGTTTCTGGTGCTCTGGTGCGCGCACATGCACACACATGCACATGCGTTCTGGTTTGGGCACTCAGTGCCGAAAAGGTTCTCCATCACTGCCCTATACCATTTCAGACAAATGGTGGTCCAATCTCTTCTTTAATACCTTTAAAATATTTATTTTTAAACAATGTTTTGATTTAGCTATCCTTAGGAAAATCTTTATTTGCTGCCAAAGAGTATTTTGCGAAGCTTGTTATTGTTTACATATCTTATGTGCTTGGATTCGATAAAACTACATTCTTATGCTACTATTATTAATTTTGTGTCAATAACTTGAATTAGAAACAGCAGTCAAAATGCTAAAACTGGAAACCGTTTTCATTCACAGAAAGGAAACAAAACAAACAATTAATTTAAAATATTGTCAATGACCATCCTAAAACTGTTTCCACTTTTTTTTTTCTTTTTTGCAGTGTCTATGTTATGGTTGGTGCAGATGTTACATTCTCCTCCTGCTTACGGGAAGTAGAAAACCCACAAAATCAGCTGAGATGCAGTCAAGAAATGGAACCTATAATAACTTGTGATAAAAAGTTTCGTACTCAGTTTCACATAGATTGGTGTAAAATTTCTTTGGTGAGTTATTGAATGGAGATGTTTTAGAAATCATAGCTGCTCAATGTTTAAACTGTTCTATTGTTAATTTCATAGGATGGGCATAATTTTTGTCACTTGCAGTCTTAATGTCTGTAGAGATTCTCAGTCATCCAGGTCATGGTTGTCTCTTTGGGACAATCCTGACCTGGATAACTGAGAATCTCTACAGACTTTTAGCTATACAATTTGGGATGAACACCCTTTGAATGGTGTTTCTAGGAATGGATTTCTAGAGGAAAAATTTCAGACTACAGGAACCAGGAGCACTACTCAGGTGACCCTGAGGACACAGATAGACTTCCAAGTACTTCAGTAACCCTCTAAAAGGATGCAGATGAGCTGTCTGCAAGGAATATAAATCCTTCCATTCCCCATATCCTGTCAGAGCTGAAGAAGCTTCTTCGATGAGAAGTGAAGCATCTTCAAAAGGAAAAAACCAAAAAGCCCAGTTGCCTCCTGAAAAGTACCTTTCCAATCTTAATGCTCTGCCATGTCCCTGCTTGCAAATTTTGTAGTGCTTGCCTCCAGGATGCCATTTTGTGACTGATGAAAATCTAACTTATTGAAGAAAACTAAACTGGTGATTTATTGTTCTTGTTATAACTATGACATAATTGGAAATGCATGCCAGGAATAATGGATCCTTATTTCTGGCTTTTCAGCTTACAATATTCCACGATGTAAAAGCCAGTGGATAAACATTCAATTTGAGGAGGCAAATGTGCAACTGTACATATTTCTAGAGAAGATCTCTGCTTTTGTCAGTGTTACTTAGTCAAGGTTGACTCAGCCTTCCAAGATCCTTTCAAGATCAGTAAAATGAGGATCTAGATAGTTGGGGGCAATATGCTGACTCTGTAAACTGCTTAGAGAGGGCTGAAAAGCACTGTGAAGCGGTATGTAAGTCTAAGTGCTATTGCTATTGCTACTGGAGCATTCTGTTTCATCAGCTACATGGGACCTTAATAAAACTGCTGAGAGTATACAAGAGCTTTTTTTACAGTCTCCTTATTTTGCAAGGCTAAGCTCAGCTTTCTAGGAATGTGTTTGATCCTCAAAGTTAACAGATTTGGTGAAATGATCGGATCTATAAAGGATGTTAGAGATGTTTTCAAGGGATGTTGGGAAAGGAAGCCTAGCAGTTCTGCCTTTGCATCCACCTGTAGGTAGAGGAGCCAAATCAGAATAACAGAATAAAAGTTGGAAGAGATCTTGGAGGTTATCTAATCTAACCCACTTGTCTAGCAGGAGACCCTATACCATTTCAGACAAGTGGTTGTCCAATCTGTTCTTAAAAAGCTGCAGTGATAGAAGGCAAGCTCCACTGAATAATTGTTCTGACTGTCAATTACTCCTTATTTCTAGGATGGATCTCTCCATGATCAGTTTCTGTAAAATTGTTTCTTATCTTGTCTTCAGGCACTTTGGAGAATAGTAGCCCCTTAATGGCAGCCCCTTTGATGTTGGAAGACTGCTATCATGTCACCCCTAGTCCTTCTTTTCATTAAACTAGACATACCCAATTCCTGCAACTGTTCTTCATATGTATTAGCCTCCATCCCCTAATCATCTTTGTTGCCCTTTGCCCTCTTTCTAGAGTTTCAGCATCACTCTTATAGTGTGATGACCAAAATTGATGCAATATTCCAAGTATGGTCTTATCAAGGCATTATAAAGTGGTACTGATAGTTCTTTGGATTTTGATTCTATCCCTCAATCAAGGGTAATTGTTTCATGCAGTGTAGGCAAAATTTAGCAAAAGCCATTGTATTTGTAAGTCTGGGATAGGTTTGTTGTTGCAGTAGACTATCTAACAATTGACTAGCATGCTTTTAAATTATAATTCCTCGCTTCCGCATAGGGAGTGACCACACATAATGTTAAGATTATTTATAAATCATAATGTATTCAACAAGTCATTATATCCTTATTTGTACATCAAGATAAAAACAAACTACACTATAACTTAAATGTAAGGGTGAATCAGGCTATACAATCCAGAAATCTAAACAGTAATCAGCATTGTGCAGAGAAGAAGGTAATGGGTTGGCATTAGTGACACTAGATGTAAGTCCATCTCGGGACCAGTCATTCTTTGTCAGCCTCTCTTAATTCTTAGGATTGACATGGAGAAAAATAAGAGGAGTGGGCTCTATGTTTGCTGCCTTGTGTTCCTGAACAAAAAAAACACAACCCAGAATATAAATCTAAGAAATAGAATAAATCTAAATACATTGGAACCAGTGGTGAGTTTCAACCAATTCGCCCCAGTTCGGGCGAATTAGTAGTGGCGGCGGCGGGAGGCTCCACCCACCCGCCTGGAAGTCATCACGAATGCTCTGTGCATGTGCAGAAGCGCCGTGCATGAGTGAAGCGTGCGCGCACATGTGCGTGCTCACAGTTCCAAACCAGTAGCAAAGTGGAATCCACTACTGAAATCAAATCTTGTTTACTTCTACTTTCTGAGCCACAAGGAAAACAGAAGAAAATCTGCCCTGATACCTTGTGTCCTCATGCAAGCACTTCTAAACGTTTTTTGTAGTTTTGTTCCCAATGAAATTATTTTTTATGCTGTTGGGTCAAACTGTGAGTTCTATAGAATATTTCATTTTTTTGTACAAATCTCTGGTCTTTGAGCCTCATGAAAAGAATTTACAAGAAAACTGGTTCAATAAACTGATTTCCTGTAATATTTTTAATAGACCGTATGCTGTATATTAAAGCAATTGGGTAGATACAGTATCTTATTATGGCCGCAACATTATTAAAGTTGAGAAATTAAGATTTTGTAATAAGCAAATGTATATATTTGTTAAGCTGTTGCCTTCAGGTTTTTCTAAAGAAATCTAAAATGCTTTTTGTACTTTTGATATCAGGTTGATAAAACACAGCAAATTTCTACCTATCAAGAAGTGATCCGTGGAGAAGGCATATTACCAGATGGTGGCGAGTATAAGCCACCTTCTGAGAACCTGAAAAGCAGAGATTATTATTCAGACTTCCTCATTACTTTGGCAGTTCCCTCTGCAGTTGCCCTGGTGCTTTTTCTAATACTTGCTTATATTATGTGCTGCCGGCGGGAAGGAGTGTGAGTACTTTGAAGCATTAATATATGACTGTGCATTTTTGTAAAGTTCTACACACGCAAAAAGATTGTTAGGTTCAACTTAATTCAGTTCATAAAAACAGTGCTTCATATTTTCTAAAACATGCGCTAAAATGAAATTTCTACCATTATCTTTCAAGCTAGCAATCTTAATTTGTTAAGAAACTGCAAAATAAGGAATCCTTCTTAAAAAGAAAAAAAGAAAGTTAACTTGTCTCATATGGAATTAAAAGTAGGAAAAATGTCTTTCTAATAATTAAAATAAACTTTCTTGAGATTGTGAACTGAATTTTAGGACAATAAAAACCAAAGAAAGCATTACTAAAAAGCAGCAAGCAACATACCATCAAATCCATTTTTTTATTACAATCATAAGGAAACAAACATAGTCCTTCCATTTTACATGCACATGTTCTGGGGATCTTTGAGTCCATCATCTGTCCTGCATATTCATGTGTTTATATCTGTGTTATTCCTCTTTTTCATTTCTTTCTATGCCTTTACCCATGCCTTCTCATAAAGTTGTGGCAAATGCTCCTGAAGGACATGAAGCTCAGGTTATTCAAGCTTCTTGTATGAAGGCAGAAGCTGACAGATGCCGACCTAGCTAGTGTTCTGTGAAGGCAGCAACTTCTGGTCCCACAATCGAAAAGAACCTTCTGTTTGAGGACAGCTTGGCTGGTGGCTGCTGGGGCACCCTTTGTGGGCCATGCCAATTTCTGGCTTTTTTATGGCTTTTTTGGATCACAATCCTGTTGTAATAAAAGCCAGCATTTCCTTGTCATTCCTGTTTCCATCAGCACTTAGTTTTAATGTTCCAAATATCAATGCTATTATTTAATTCATAACTTTTGTTTTATTTTTAGGGAAAAGAGAAACATGCAAACACCAGAGTAAGTGTCTTCTTCTTTCCTGTTATTTTCTCCCATCTTTTAATTTAAGCATTTCCTAGGAACTTTTCATGCATCATATACACGTATACCATTTTCATCCTCATTATCTTGTCCTTCATTTCCAAGTTAGCTGCTTTGGAAAAAAAAAATACACTTATAAGGAGTTGAGTAGGGCAAAATAAAAAGGGCTAACATTAATAATAAAATAGATTAAAACCAAAATTTGTATTTCTGGATTTTATTTATTTATTCAATTTATATGCCGCCCCTCTCCGAAGACCCAGGCCAGTCTTTTGAAAGGACTAAATCCATATCTAAAGGTGGTTCTTTAACAATCTGGTGCCTTGCAGATCTGCTGAACTATAATTCCAAAATTCCTAGTGAGCATCCTTTTGCTAACTGAGAATTCTGGGACTATAATTCTAACCTATCGTAAAGTACCTCCTTTTGATAAATATTCGTAGGATAATTAAAAGTTTAAAATTCTGATTTGTGAAAGGAATACCTTAAGTTCAGAATGTTCCTTTTCTGAATAAGGAACCAAATAATTATAAAACTGAAAGCAGTAATATATGAGCTTGATTGTACAGAGTTCCTTCAATGGAATAGAAGTCTGATTCTTAATAGTAGAAGGAGAAAATTCTGACCCTCATAGTGTTGCCAAATTATGAATTCCTGGAACTCAAGGAAGATAGTTCAAGCTTGGAGCTGTATTACAACAACATCTGAAAGGATATGGATTGCTCATCCATCTAAAACAATAAGAGGATTTGTTACACTCTCAGTGCTGCTAAATACATCTCCCAGTACTCTCTAGTGTTAGCAATGCTGGCTGTGGATGATGGAAATTTTAATTCAGTAATGTGTGAAGGGCTACAGTTTAATGGTTAGCACGATTAGGCTAAACAGACAATAGATGATATTGAATCTATAAAGTTTTTCATAGAATCAAGAAGTAAAAGTAAAGTCAAAATAGAAGTAATAAGTTCACTGTTCTAAATAACAGCTGTGTATGTTTATGGCAGCTCTACATTCCATTAATTTTCCAGTATTTTGACTCTAAGAAAGGCTGCCGTAGGTATCAGTGGAAATTTCTTCCCTGAAACAAATTTCAGCTGGTTTTGGATCTAAATGATGATCTAGTGATCTAAAGAGATAATCTCCCTGCACTATATATTGTTATCTCATTATGAAAAACCCTGCTCTTTGCAAGTGTTATGTAGGAAAAATGTATCTCAGATGCAGTAAACTTCAGATCATCTTTTAATTCCTAGTGAGGAATTGAGAATAGATTTAATGGGCTGAATGAAATTTTGCAGGTTTTATATGGCTTTCTTTCTTTCTTTCTTTCTTTCTTTCTTTCTTTCTTTCTTTCTTTCT